GCTGGTCGTCGGGAGCTCATGAGCGATGGCGGGCGCCGCGCTCGCTAGCTCGGCCCCCCATCGCGCCGCCGCCGAGCCCAAGCGCAACACGACCTCCATGCGGGACACCGCCGACCAAAAAAAAAGAGAAGAGGGGCAACCCGAACCAGAAAACAAAAGCCAAAAGGAGCCGAGACAAGAGCTAAAAAGTCCTTGAGCCAAAACGGCGGTGTCTTCATCAGTCTGACGAGGAGGGGCCGCCGCTCGGGCTTTGCGGCAAAGGGCGGGGCCCAGCGGTCACGGGGGGGGTTTTCGGCGTCCGGGCCGATGGTGCCTCACAAGGGGTGCAGGATATTGAGGCCGAAGCTTTGCGGGAAGAGAGCCAAGTCCCGCCGCTTGCCTTCAGCCTTGAAACCCATCAGCTGAGGACACTCTGCGCCATGAGATGACGCGCCTTCCGTTCCCAGTTGGTTGCAAACTTGTTTCATCTCTTTCTACCGGAGCTTGGGAGGCCACAACGCATAGTCGCTGCTTGTACCAAAACCAACGAGCAATCCGTCCAAAGGACGGTTGAGCGGACCCGCGCGGACCTCAAGCCTAAACCGCCATGCCTGAAGCCAGGCGCTTGCGCGGGAACTGTGGCTGGGAAGGGGCCAAACACCTTGCCGCAAGGACGCTAGACATCGGGAAGTAAACTACTATAAATACAAGCTGTCAGCGCTGTGGGCACAGCAACAACAACAACCAGCAGCACCACCACCACCACGACCACGACCACGACGACAAGGACAACGACCACGACAACGACAAGGACAAGGGCAACAACAGCGACAACGACAACGACAATGACAACGACAACAACAACGACAACGACAACGACGACGCCGACGCCGACACCGATGCCGACGCCGACGACAACAACAGCAACAGCAACAGCGACAGCGACAGCGGCAGCGACAGCGACGGCGACAGCGACAGCGACAGCGACGGCGAGGGCGACGGCCACGGCCACGGCCACGGCAACCGCAACGACAACGACAACGACAATGGCAACGTCAACGGCAACGGCAACCACAACGACAACAACCAACAACAACAACCAACAACCAGCAACCAACAACCAACAACCAACAACCAACAACCAACAACCAACAACCAACGACAACGACAACGACAACCACAACCACAACCACAACCACCACCACGACCACGACCACGACCACGACCACGACCACGACCACGACAACGACAACGACAACGACAGCGACAGCGATAGCCACAACAACAACAACAACAACAACAACAACAACAACAACAACAACAACCACAACAACAACCACAACCACAACCACAACCACAACGACAACGACAACGACAACGACAACGACAACGACAACGACAGCGACAGCGACAGCGACAGCGACAGCAATAGCAGCAACAACAACAACAACAACAACAACAACAACAACAACAACAACAACAACAACAACAACAACAACAACAACAACAACAACAGCAACAGCAACAGCAACAGCAACAGCAACAGCAACAGCAACAGCAACAGCAACAAAGCAACAACCAAGCAACAACCAAGCAACAACCAAGCAACAACCAAGCAACAACCAAGCAACAACCAGGCAACAACCAGGCAACAACCAGGCAACAACCAAGCAACCAACAACCAACACCAACGACAACGACAACGACATCCACAACCACAACCAACCACAACCAAGCAACAACAAAGCAACAACCACGCAACAACCAAGGAACAACCAGGCAACAACCAAGCAACAACCAACCAAGCAACAACCAAGCAACTTGCAAACCGGCAAAGAGTGATGCGGCGCTGACGGAGGCAAGAGAAAGGAGACAGGAAGCATGCCACGCGACTACCCCTGGAAGAGAGGTAGCTGGGAAGGCGCCGAGGACGCCGGCAAGGCCCCGCACCACATCTGCAGCAGGCTTCGCGGGCGAGGGCTTCGCCGAGGCAAGTGGCGCCACACAGGACGAAGACCAGACGCCGACGATCATCTCCTGCGACCCCCGCGCTGTCGTGCGCGCCAGCCACTGCTGACGCACGCGAGCCTTTGCACCCAGGGCCTCGCGCTCGACGCGAACCCAGGCCTGCTCTAGGAGAGGGGCGCGTCGCGAGAAGACCCCGGCGAGGACACCCCGGCATCGAGCGCGCCCCCGTAGCCCGGAAATTCGTGCGTCCGCACATCCATGCGTGAGTGGGGGTGGCAGGCGGAGACCAGTGTAGCGCCACTGCATGTCGCAATGGGCGCTCGGAGCAGCGGCAGCCTTGTCATCCATGAGGAACTCCCGTACGCATCGCTCCGCTGCATCAAGGCGACGACGCTGGAAAAACACGGGAAAGGCGTCAGCCCAGGCCGCCCAGTACGCGGCAATTTGGAGCGCACAAGAACCCAGGCCTCCATCGCGCGCAGAAAGCAAAGCGAGGCGAGCTTGTGGCCAATCAGCGCCGCACTCATCGAGGAGCGTCTGCAAAGTCGCGCTGCTGTGCGCTTCCGGGTAAATCCGCCATGTGGCTCCCGCCACGAGTACTCGAAGGAAGGAAGGAAGGAAGGAAGGAAGGAAGGAAGGAAGGAAGGAAGGAAGGAAGGAAGGAAGGAAGGAAGGAAGGAAGGAAAGGAAGGAAGGAAGGAAGGAAGGAAGGAAGGAAGGAAGGAAGGAAGGAAGGAAGGAAGGAAGGAAGGAAGGAAGGAAGGAAGGAAGGAAGGAAGGAAGGAAGGAAGGAAGGAAGGAAGGGAGGAGGGGAGGAGGGGAGGAGGGGAGGAGGGGAGGAAGGAAGAGGAAGGAAGGGAAGGCAAGGAAGGAAGGAAGGAAGGAAGGAAGGAAGGAAGGAAAGGAAGGAAGGAAGGGGGAAGAAGGAAGGAAGGAAGGAAGGAGAAGGAAGGAAGGAAGGGAAGGAAAGGGGGAAGGAAGGAAGGAAGGGAAGGAAGGGAAGGAAGAAGGGAAGGAAGGAAAGGAAGGGAAGGAAGGGAAGGAAGGGAAGGAAGGGAAAAGGAAGGAAGGAAGGAAGGAAGGGGAAGGAAGGAAGGAAGGAAGGGGAAGGAAGGGAAGGAAGGGAAGGAAGGGAAGGAAGGGAAGGAAGGGAAGGGGAAGGAAGGGAAGGAAGGGAAGGAAGGGAAGGAAGGGAAGGAAGGAAGGAAGGCAGGCAGGCAAGCAGGCAGGCCAACCGGCCGGCCGGCCAGCGGGCGGGAGGGAGGGAAGGGAGGAAGGGAGGAAGGGAAGGAAGGGAGGAAGGGAGGAAGGGAGGGAGAAAGGGAGGAAGGGAGGAAGGGAGGAAGGGAGGGAGGAAGGGAGGAAGGGAGGAAGGGAGGAAGGGAGGAAGGGAGGAAGGGAGGAAGGGAGGAAGGGAGGAAGGGGGGACAAGGGGCAAGGGGCAAGGGAAAGGAAAAGCGAGGGGGAAGGGAAAAGAAAAGGAAAAGGAAAGGAAAAGGAAAAGGAAAAGGGAAAGGGAAAGGAAAAGGAAAAGGAAAAGGAAAAGGAAAAGGAAAAGGAGGAAAAGGAAAAGGAAAAAAAGGAAAAAAGGGAAAAGGAAAAGGAAAAGGAAAAGGAAAAGGAAAAGGAAAAGGAAAAGGAAAAGGAAAAGGAAAAGGAAAAGGAAAAGGAAAGGAAAAGGAAAAGGAAAAGGAAAAGGAAAAGGAAAAGGAAAAGGAAAAGGAAAAGGAAAAGGAAAAGGAAAAGGAAAAGGAAAAGGAAAAAAAGGAAAAAAAGGAAAAGGAAAAGGAAAAGGAAAAGGAAAAGGAAAAGGAAAAGGAAAAGGAAAAGGAAAAGCAAAAGGGAAAGGGAAAGGGAAGAAGGGAAGGGAAGGGACGGGAAGAGAAGAGAAGAGGGAAGAGAAGAGGGCAAAGAAGAGCCAAGGGAAAAGAAGAGGGAAGAAAAGGGAAGGGCAGCAAGGAAGCAAGCAAGCATGGTTTCCCTTTGACAGCCTCCCAAATGCACAGGGGGCTCACAGGCCGAGTACACGTCGGTGCGCTCGAAACCCACAATTTTGGGAGTAGGCACACCCAAATGTGATACCTGGACTGGTGACATGTCATGAGTTGTCATATGAGTGACAGTTGTCAGGCAGGGCAGCTATTGGCAAGCTTAACAAAATGGCTGAGCTCCGTTTTCCCACTTGAAAAAACCGACTCAAAGGGAATCGTCCGACTTTCAGAAACCAAAGCCAACCAAAAAACAAGCAACGACCAAAAACCAACCAAAACCGTGTGGGGTTCACCGATATCCGCACCCCAAGCGCCCAGCGTCTGTTTTCTCCCTGCTCCGCTTTCTGCGCCACTCACTAGGCGAAGCTCACCACCTGGGGCCGAGAAACTTCAGGGAAACCAGGCCATGTTTTTTCACCCAAGGCAACAAGGTCACAAAGGGTCCCGAAGGAAGCTTTAGGCTCTGGCAAATGACCCTTTTTGGGGTCAGGTAAGGGAGCCTTTGGCTGTGACGCCCTTGCCCCTGGTGCTGGCTTCTTCGAGGCATCACAGCCGTGAGTGCTCTGCTCATGTTTCCCCAAGTCCCTTGCTACCTTTGAAGTACCAAATGAATCCAAATGAGCCACATTCCGGCCCCTCCTCACTGGATACCAGGGACTCATGGGCAAAAAGCAGACCGTCGCGAGTTGACTCAATCCGGATTTCCGATGGCCGCTTGCAAGTTGGGCTCAACATGGTGAAGGCAACCTCTGGGAGGGGCAAACATGTTGAGATGCACCCTTCTCCCCAAGTGTAAAATGACATGTTGGGTGTTTCAAGGAAAACAGAACATTTGGCAGGTTCCGCCGTGAGACAAAGTCATGTTTAAAAGGGAGGAATGGGGCACCAAGAGCCTATCAAACAAAGCGGTGGCCTTTTGGGTCAGTTTTGTTGAGAAACGGTTGGCACTAGTTTCAATTGGCTGCAAATCATGTACCATGTTCCAAGCGAAATAAGCCAATGAAGCTGTTTTTTGAGCTGAGGCTCGCTCCTTCTAAGCAAAGGAACTCAAGCAAACCACATTCATGGAGAACTCAGCCCCAGACGCAGCAGCAGCTTGGGAGCCGTAATTGGTCGTGCCAAATGCGGGCACATGTGCGGGAAGAGCAGGAACCTTCCTCTTTCTGGCTCCACAGTTGCAACCACTGCCTCTTCCGTGTCCTCCATGACATTCAGCAAAACAGTCTCGCCTCCACCCACACAATTTCCAAGATACAGAATGAATGTATGCGTCGAACGTCGTCCAAGCTCATCCGTCCGCGCCAGATCCACGTGTGGCGGCAATCCTCCGCCAACTTCAACATAGTGCAGGAAGCGCATGTGTGGCATTGTAACTTCTAATCGCAACCCGTGATCTTTCAATGTCTCATCCACCGCACTCTGGAAGGCTTTCTGAACAGCACCTTCCGAATCGCCTCGCGTGAATCCAAGTCAACATGTCCTTCCATCAGTTGGGAAAGAGAGACAGAGAGAGAGAGAGAGAGAGAGAGAGAGAGAGAGATGGAGAGAGAGCTAGAGAGAGAGAGACAGTACTTGGAGAATCTCATCAGGGGCAAAGATCTCTGCTGCTGTGGTGTGAACCATGCCAATGGGATTCGGATGGATTCGTCGAATCTTGGCTGACGCGATTGCTCACAAAGTTGAAATGTTGTGTAGCCTTGTACAACAGGTGTTGGCAATTCATATCAAACGAGGCTTTGGGGAAGGTCGCTTGTTGGATGGCGCGTTGTGTGTCTGTCCATGCGCGTGTCCCTGTGGGGCTGCAATAGAAGACCTGCACGTTCTTGACTTAAACTATTGACATTCTTTGTTGAAGCAATTCCACAATGTCGGAACTGTTGGTTGGGTCGATGGTACTCTGAGTGATGTCACTTGAAAGAAACTGAGCAGCTAATGAAACAGAAAACAGGCCAGGTCAAATGTTTGCGAGTTCAGGTCTACGTGGGACTGTCGTTTTGTTGAGGCCCATCTTTGCCCGTGTTCAAAAGAACAAAGTAAACCAGCAAGTTGTTTGGGGTTCACGAAAGAAACGTCCACAAAGGGGATTGTCTCAAAGAATAAACCTGGAAATTGGTGGATTCCCCCTATGGTTTCCCTAAACATCACGCCAACCAAACAAGGGTTAGATGGATACCAACTCAACATTGGTAAATTCAACCCTGGTGTGTGGTTCGTTTACCTGCAACCTGTATTTAGCATCCCACTCCGTCCAAAACGAAAGTCGAAACAACCCACTTCTTCCAAGGCACAGAAGTAGCTGCGGTCGGAGGAACAGGACTTGGTCCTCTCCGCTTTCGGCAGCGAGGCGAACAGATCCTCCAGCTGCCGCAAGCACGTCTCCGGAAAGGAGCCCTCAACCAGGCAGCTGCCGGCTCCAGCCAAATCCTGGAGCCGCTGATGCACGCACCCAATGGACTCAAAAACCGAGCCGCTGATGCATGGACCTGACGCTCCTTCTTGGTTTTTGTTGCGCAATCAGAGTCAATCCTATGGAATGGTTGCAACCGTTTTGGCAATCTGAAGCATCTTGAGAACGGACTGGAATCAGCAAGGGGGGGGCTTTATATTTCATCCAAACTCCCGTCCGAATGGTGGGGGATGAGCCACTGCAGTTTCGGCGAGCGAGTGTCAAAGTCGAGAAGTTTCCAGGAAGCTGTGGGCTTGGCTCCTGCCTCGCCACAGCGAGGCAAAAAGACCCCAAAAAAAGCATGCAGGGGCAGGTCTCAAAATGGAGGAACCCCCTCAAAACGGGGTCTTTCATGTTGGTTTCCCTTGTGACCAACCCCAAAAATGGTGTCCTCTCAAGAAAGACACACTCCCACGAAGGACTGCGTCGCCTCTTCCAGTGCGTGCATTGCACCTGGCGAGCGGCAAGCGGCAAGCACAATCGCCAGGCGGCTGCACGCAGACCGCGCCTTGGTGGGCATTGGCCACAGCACAAGCCCAAGGACTACAGCCTCCATTTGCAGTGCGGTCCTTAGCATTCAATTGTTCCATCAAACGTGGCAAAGACCTTTGCCATGCGTTTCTCCGACTGGGCGCACCAAGTCTGCCCCTGCCCATGCAAGGAGAGCGATCGCCTGCCATTGACGTGTTCGTTGAGCTTGAGCAACTTTCCAATCCGAGAATGGAGACCGACTTTGTGCAAAAGGCTATCCCGATGTCCATTCTTGGCCTCACCAGCATTGTGGCATGCAGCCAGGAAGAGCGCCGTCTGTCCATACCTCGCGAAACAGACAGGCAGGCAAGCGAGCAGGCAGGCAAGCAGGCAAGCGCGCACATGAGCAAGCTGAGCTCACTAAACAGGCGGTGAGCACTCGTTGGTGGCATCCAAATCCACTCCAGCCTGCAGCGAAGTATATCAGGTGAGGGGTTTGCAACATGCTTGCAGCACCAATCGGCTGAATATAGGAGTCATCTTGCAGTCTCTGGAGCAAGCAACGTCGACGGCAAGCGTGTGCAGTAGACAGAGGGCAGACGCGAAAACAAAGGAAGCATCCTCTTAATAACGATGGCAAGGCTGCCCTATCCTGGACAAGTGCGTCGCAATCAAAACTTGGTATTGAAATAATCCATGTGAAGAAGCAAAGGGCGGCCTCTCCTACTGGCATTCATCTACCCAGGTGGTAATTGTGGCAAAAGTATAGAGAAGGATCTGGAAGGGCATTCCCACCAAGAGCTTAGCAAAGGCATGCATCATGCAGTGGAAAGGTTAGAAACATTCTGGCTTGCTGTTCAATACATTGCGCACATCGAATACATGAGAACATGCTCGGACTGGGTAGCTTGGCAAAGGCACGTGTCTGACCTCAATGCGTTACTCAGAGAATTTAATCCTCGCAAAGAAGTAGAACCGGCCCAAAACCGTGAAAAGAATCAAAAGGGCTGCCGCACCAGCGCTCACTGGCCTCGCCTCCAGGAGCGCAGTAAGCCGCACCACATCACCACTGACGCCGACCTTAGTGACACTGAGTGTGTGCATAGCAAAGTCGCTTGTCAGCGCAGAGACAATGGGCATGTCTTGCAAAGAGGGGATTTCCCCTTGCAAAAAAAAAATAAGCTCAGGCGATATCCCCAACAGCACCACGCCCTCCCAGAATCCTCGCGTTAAAAAGCAAAGCTAAGATTGACAGTTCAATCGCGCCCTGATCGGGGCCCGACGGCGCAATCGGGGCCCGATCGGGGCCGACGGCGCAATCGGGGCCCGATCGGGGCCCGACGGTGCAATCGGGGCCCGTCGGGGCCCGACGGTGCAACCGGGGCCCGACGGTGCAATCGGGCCCGATCGGGGCCCAACGGCGCAGTCGGGGCCCGATCGGGGCCCGACGGCGCAATCGGGGCCCGATCGGGGCCCGACGGCGCAATCGGGGCCCGCTCGGGGCCCCGATCGGGGCCTGACGGTGCAATCGGGGCCCGTCGGTGCCCGACGGTGCAATCGGGGCCCGATCGGGTCGGGGCCCGATCGGGGCCCGACGGCGCAATCGGGGCCCGATCGGGGCCCGACGGCGCAGCGGGGCCCGTCGGGGCCCGACGGTCAATCGGGGCCCGTCGGGGCCAGACGGTGCAATCGGGGCCCAACGGTGCAATCGGGGCCCGATCGGGGCCCGACGGCGCAATCGGGGCCCGATCGACGGCGCAATCGGGGCCCGATCGGGGCCCAACGGCGCAATCGGGCAATTTGGGCCCGTCGGGGCCCGACGGTGCAATCGGCCCGACGGTGCAATCGGGGACTGCAATCGGGGCCCGATCGGGGCCCGACGGCACAACCGGGGCCCGATCGGGGCCCGACGGTGCAATCGAGGCCCGTCGGGGCCCGACGGTGCAATCGGGGCCCGATCGCGGCCCGATGCTCCCGTGATGCCCAGCCACCCATATTACAGCTCAACGCCGGCTTTCCTTAGGATGCGGCCTTACAACTGTACCTAGCAAAACTAGGCGATGCCAGCTTGGTGCAGTTGGCGGGGCCTGGGGCGCAATGGCGCAATTGGGGCCGATCGGGCCCCGACGTTGCAACGACGCAATCGGGCCCCGACCTGGGCCCGGTGAACCTTGCAAACCGTCCTTGTAAAACCTTCGTAGAACTCAGCGTGAAACTTTGTTGGAACCTTTCCTCCGGGCCGCTTCATGGCTTTTGCAGAACCTGGCGGAAACTTCGTGGAGCGTTTTTGAATTCTTTGAACCCAAAGCCCACCAAGAAATACCCAGCAATGTCAAGCATTTACTCTACTGCAACGTGATCTGATTTGCAAAAACGCCAACATTTCGGGCCGCGTTGCCTGAGCAAGTGAGCAGGTGACAAAACAATGAAAGTGTGCTGAAAACCATTGATTTCGGTTTTGCTTAGTGTTCCGCCCATGAGCAAAGCGATCTTCTGAGCCCTCATTTTACTGCTCCGACGCTTTTCAGACGGCGGGCGCACGACACACTGAACCTTGCACACATTAACTCTGCGAAACCTCAGGACCATCCCACAGCCCTCGCAGAACCTCGTGGAACCCTCTCATGGAACCTTACCTCAAACCAGCCCGCCCCGCATCACAGCTGGTGGAACCCTCGTGGAACCCTGGTGGAACCCTCGCTCAAACCACCCCGGACCACCCCGCAGCCCCTGGTGGAACCGTGGTGGAACACTGGTGGAACCCTGGTGAATGAAACCTTACCTCAGAGCCGCCCCGGACCACCCCGGAGCCTATCTGGGCTGAGACCCCAAAGCTTTCAGCTGTTGAGGAAAAAACAGTAAATGGGGTGAGTTTCGTTGGTTGTTGGATTGAAACCAGCACGAAAGGGGCACCCTCAAAAAAGACACGTCAAAATGATCATTAAGAATCGATCAAGAAACAAGCCACCAGCTTCGCGGCTGTGGGCTCGCTCGACTCCAGACAAATTGATTCCACCGACACAAAGGGAAACATGGGAATCTGGTTCCTGTATGAAAAAGTTGCGAGAGCCCAGATATTAGTCGATGGCAAGCGAAACTCATTCTCCAGTCGGCCTTCAGAAGCTCGGTGGTTCTCTCCTGCCACTGGTGCCATTGCATTTGCTGACTTATGCAATCCTTCAGCAGCCGCTTTCCCGTTGCAAATCGTCTCAGAAGGCGAGCACCCGCACCCGCCTGCTTTGTGTCGCCCAACTTCGCGGCGGCTGCACTTCGCGGGTGTTGCGCCTGGAACCTGCGGTCCGGCAAACGCGAGCCTCAACATGGAGGGAATGGCGGAATGGGGAAAGAAACACCACAGAAGGCAGCCTCAAGAGGGTTACACACCGCGCCTGGGCCGGCTCTTTGCGTCCTTTGTGTCCGTTTCCACCTCGGCGGACAGCCAACTCTGGCAGCCACGAGAATGCGACGAGGTAAGAGGCGCGCTGGCTCTGTAGGGAGGGCCTTGAAGCGTTCCAACGTCGCCTTAAGTGCGAGTAGCTCCCCGAGATTGAAACAGCAGGAGCAAACACGCAAAAATTGCTGTGGCTCAAAACTGAGTACCCAAGATTTCTTACCCTGGTAAATGGAACCAAGGACTAAAACCTCTGGTCCCCTGGTGGTTTAATTTTGACCCAGGCAAAAAAAAATGATGTCTTGCTGCTGAAACATGCAGCATGCCACTACCGGGCGTTGTCTCTGCAGCCCCGCACTTCAACGCTGAGACTTGCACCTCCCTTCTTTGTAAGCTGCTTAAAGGCTGCCATTGCAGAATGAAAGCATCCTGCAAACATAGGGAAGGGATGCGTGGCTTCCAACATCCTGCGCACAAAGTCCAAGTGTGGCATCAATGTCAGCAAAGTCATCGTGCAAAACACTCTTCACTCCAAGAGGCAAAGGAACTAAGTCCTTGTCTGCTGACAACATGCTAGCCTTGGTGAGCTTTGTGCATGGCAGTGCACATGATCAAGCCGCTCTTCCCTTCACCCATCACTGTCAGTGGCGGATCAGCTTGAAGACAACCTTTGTCTGATTCTGATTTGGCAGCAGTTGTTTGCATTATTGACCCCCATGCGTTGAATCACAGACTTTTATATCCAAATCACAGGGGAGGGTGCGATTAAGGCCTTTCTTGGGCTGGAACATAACCGTTCTTTCATTTGGTGGTGCATGTGTGGGCTGCCAACATGAGTGCTGCTTAGGGGTTCTGATTTGTGCCACATACATTCTTCCGACTCGATTCCCTTGCGGGCCCTGGGAAAGGTCTGCTATCTAAGACACCAAATCAGTGCCAAATAAGAATCTCTGAGGAGTCTGCATCCTGCTCTGTCAGAGGGGCTTGCCTGAGCAACGAAAGCATCAAGCAAATGCGTGCAGAACAAATAATAGTGCGGGCAAGTTGCGAGTACTGCTGGACTTGGCAATTGCGACACGACTGCCGTCGAGCAAAGTTGGTGTAGCCACAACAGGAACACTCCCAGTCCTGACAGCATGCAGCATGCGCGATGCAAGTCCTTCTTGAAATGTGCTGTCATTGTGCTAAATCCGTAGTCCCTCTCTGTTCAGAAGCCATGCAGAACGCCATGTCGCTGGTCTAATCATAAGGCAGTGATTTGCGACACGGCAACTGTTGCCACCTGCTTCTTCTCTGAAGGTGGCTCCGCCTCTCCTCCCGCGCCGCTCATGCCAACAAGTGATCACAAAAGCCACAACTTGTCCTAGCGATGCAGTTGGATATGACCCCGAAGTTGGTCCCACCTCAAGAGCCCTCTCGCAACGCTCGCATGGGATCTTAGGGTCTCTCCATAGGCCGGGCCCGTTTCGGGGTCCGAGTGCCTGACTTGGCACTTGGGGCACGGCAGCTCTGCTGCCTCGCGGCTGAAACTCAGCTCAGCTCCACGGCGAGTCGAAGCCAAGCGGCCGCAGACATGCCCTTGGCAACAAGCGAAGAGCGCTTCCACAAGCAATCCTCGCAGCCTGGCAGGGTCATGATCCCTTCTTGCGGACATCTAAAACCACACACCAAAAACACAACAGACCAGCATGGACCGCACACACCCCTCTAAACTTGAAGTTAGAATCCCTATAAGTAGCAGAAAGAGCTATCCGGGAAAAGAATATATGTTTGATTCTTGTGTTCATATTCACGAATCAAACCTTCTCAACGAATGCTGGGCCGAGGGCATCGATGACCACAGGGCCAAGCCTTGAATCAAAGGCTCAGGCGAGGAGCAAACCGGCTACCCTTTGTCCTGCAATGGAAGCGAACAAGTGGCTCCCAAAAGGAAAGCATAGTCTAAAGCTCTGTCAATTTTCCAACCACGAGGGTACTTTTCGAATGTCGAACCCAACTCCTGTGCAACTGAGAGGCGTGCAAGCATGGCGGCAAAGCCGTTCAGAGCTCGATCTTTGCTCTGTTGCCCGCATTCCTGCCGCTGGTGCAATTGGATCATCACACCTGTTTTGTTTCCATGATTCATTGCAGCTTTGGTCAGGCTGGCTCCTCGCAAAAGCCAAGGTTTTGCACTCGCTTGCCGCGAAAGCGCAGCTGCACCATCGCATGGGAAAGCCACACCTACGACTCGAAACATGGGCCAGTGTGTGCGCGGACCAGCTGAGGACCTAACAGCAGACTCCATTCCTGAGCAGCGCAGTGTGAGGCAGCCGAACCACAAGAACGTCTGCCAACGCAGCTCTCAATGACCTAGCAGATCTATCCCATGAAGCGTGTGTTAGACGTCATTTACATGGAGAATGTCCATCAACCTTTTGTTGCGCCCCCAACCGAAAGCTTTCCTCAAGCGTTTGAGAGCGGATGACCCTTATTCCCTGTTCAAATGGGCGTCTCTTCAAAAAGGCGAAGGCCAAAATGGTTGGTTTGTTTTCGGACTCTTTATTTCAAACAACTCAAAAAAAACGGATTCAACCCCAACAAACGCGGATGCCCAAAAGAAGACACTCCCAAACTCACTGGCGCTTTTCTTTTGCCTCCAAGCCACTCAGCCCGTTCACCAACTGCTGTGCTGGCCCCTCGTTGCGCGCCGGCCTTGGACTGCGCAGGCCTCAGTGCAGCGGGGGGCAGGGCACTCCAATGACTCGGTGGTCCTTTCGCTTCTCTCATGGAGGAGGGTCGCCTCCCAAAGAATTCCTCCCCCTGCTTTTGGTTACGCCAATTGACCTTTACACACTCGCCGTTAATACATTTGGCTCAAGGCCCTTTTACGTCATTTGTACAGTCATTCGACACATGGTACAGTGATAAAAGGCTTGCAGACCGCTTCACAGGATTCCGAGTCAACACAAGCCACCAGGGACAATCCATGACTCTCTCCGGAATAGATCCAGGGACCAAATCAACGACCTCTACTGCCACAGGGTACCAGTTCCCTTCTGGGATAGGCACCCCGGCAGTGGGCCTCAATTTGTGGTAGCGGAGCAGGTTTTCCGCAGAGATCCAAGAAAAATGGAGAAGGCTTCATGGAAGCCAATGACAGAATCCGACAATCATCCTGGTGACCGACCTGCACCTCCAAGGCGACCAGCGATGCGGCCAACTCTCACATCCAACGACCGGTGGCATGTGCCAGATGGATCAGATACCGGCATCAGCCTCCAGAGGGAATCCGTACACCCAGGCAAAATTCCTAAATTTCGTGTACGAATACTACAAGGAGTGCTCAACCATCCTCGAGATGAATCCGGACTTCCACTTCATTCCTGAGCATGAACGACCGCCTGGAGGCAAGGTGTTCTGGCTGAAGGCCAGATTCAACGACTATTGGCGGCCAACGCTTCCAGGTGAAGGCCCTCACGCAGAGAAACAATACATGGACTTCATCAAGAAGGTCTACGTCATTTGCTGCTACATCAATGCTCAGCCAGAAGTTTACGGAACCGACATCATCCCGATGGTATGTCACAACAGCTTCATTGATCTCGAGAAGACCGTCCAGAATGTTGAACAGGTTTGCAAGTACTTCAGCATGGATCCATCCAAGGCAAAACAGATCACCGACCTCATCCTCTGGCGAATCGAGAGAATGAGCAGATTGTTTTCCGGATGTCTTCGACATGATCCAAGGCATGGCATCCATAAGGAATGCAAACGACAAGTGGACATGGGTCCTGATGGATCCGTTGAGCTCTACGATGCATTGTCCTGCGTTACACATGCCAGGAATTTCCTTGGAAACTTGAAACAAGCCAGGACTTCTCTTGATGGCTATGTTCCCGAACTATGGAAAGTCACGTTTCGAGATTGCGTTCGTGTATCCATCCGTGGCAATGAGCGCAAGGCAAGGGGAGAAATTGTTCCAAGAAATCGATGGATCGACAACTCACCACGAGATCCGCATACGATGCACTCAGGCCTAATGGCAAGGAATTCCTCAATGATCCCGACATGGAGTTCTACGTGAGATGCAACAGCGGTCATCACACACGACAAGTCGATCTCCAATGTTTTGGACGACCCCTGTACTCCGAGCAGCAGAGTGAGCCTCGCCAAGAAGAACCGGACTACGACCTTCCAACGGAATCCATTCCTCCAAGTCCACATCCGTCAAGATCAGATGCGCCCCATGAAGACGAAGGCACAGCTCAGGCAAAATACAGAATGCGAAGGCCGGCACCACCATCCATTGAAGAAGAGAGAAAGATCAAGCCGTTCGCGAAGAAGCCCATCACTCTTATGTTCCATGCAACCTATGGAAATCAACTCATCAGCATCCGACTCTCCGAAGAGCGAACAGCGCTGACAGAACAAACCATCGAGGCGAAGAATATTGTTGCAGCATATGAACCTGATGGTAGCACCATGATGAGCAACAACTGGATCATGAAGAAGCTTCTCAGACGTGAAGATGTTGAGATGTACGACACCAAGATCCGTGAATTCGCCGATGCTTTCTTCAGCCATGTAAATTCCGATAAGCACAGCAAGGAAAAAGATACTTCCTCAGAGACCAAGAAGCGACGGCACTCCACCGATCAAGACGAAGTTGAAGAGAAGAACATGGAACCCTCCGGGGAGAGATCCGTCAAACCAAAGGTCACCATGGAGTATCGCAATTCCGAGAACTTAGCCGAGTTCATCCAGGAACTCAAGGAAATCTACCTCGAAATAGAAATGAGCAAGAAGGACGCCGAGGAAGAGCTCACGGAAACCAAAACGAACTTCCTCCGCTTCATGGAGACGTACAACAAGGATCCAAGGAGCTCATCCTAAACTGACAGAATGCGAGAGAGCCTCATTGGCACACGTCGATTCTGATGTCAATCTCGGAGAAGAAGAGTTTTACTTCCGCCATCGAGGAGAATGTCCCACCATGGACGAGTACAGGAATGCACAGCCAACATCCGGATATCCTATTAAGCTTCCGCTTGGACTGAAGAAGCTTAGGTCACATGACGGCCCGGAAACCTCCGAGCATTTGCCGATATCCTGGGATCGCTGATGCAGCCGACCGACCGTCCCTCTGTGGACCATCTCAAGACGCATGAGTACACCTCATCCCTGACGATCAACACGCTTACTATGAACCATGGAAACCTCACGAGGAATCCAAAGCTAGACGGCAGGGAGGTATCCAACATGGCGATGAAGGATCGACCAATCGTGAAGATGATGATGCAATGATGCAGAATAGCGCACACATCTTATGCCTCAATGAAGCAGACGCATTCCTCAGTCCTCAAGATGATAAATCCAGAGAACTCATCAAGACGTTCATCCGATTCGGGTGCAAGGGCATCGTTATCAAGCAATGGTCATCCAGACCAATTGCATGCTTTGTCCGCGATGGACCTTCCACAAGAGTGGAACTATTGGCAAGACACATTCCACAAAGAGTCAGAATTGGGGAACCACATATCGGGATGTTCAGATGTTTCTTCGGAACCGAGGAAAATTGCACTGATCCTGCTCGGACTGTTTGGCAACTACGGGACCATCCATGTTTACTGAGTCCAAGAAGTACATCGGACCGAGATTGCCAACACACACCACTGTCCAAGGACACGGACGTAAGAAAGAGATTGTCATTCTCCACATCGAGCAGAGTGATGAGTCTCGTGGTGTGCTCCCAAAACCATCCAACAAATCACTCCTCGAGTTTGACAGCCGCCACGTAACGAGGGCAGACCTTCCGTTTGCTACCATTGGAGTTTTCCACATTCATCCCTCCATCAGCCATGGAGCAGCAAGGGAAGATTTTCAGAACGAAGTCCTGCCACTCGTGACATTGTACCAATGTGACGCGCTCACTGGAGACGCCAACAAATCCGCGAATACCTACAGCAGACTCCAGCACGTCTTCAATCCAGCCAATGGTCTCATGAATATCCTCATGAAGGCATATCAGAGATTGTGGAATGAGACGGAGAACCTGCCACTCGTGAACAGAATTGGGGAACCATACGACATTCCGACCTCGGACTGTTTGGCAACTACGGGACCATGCATGTTTACTGAGTCCAAGAAGTACATCGGATCGAGATTGCCAACACACACCACTGTCCAAGGACACGGACGTAAGAAAGAGATTGTCGTTCTCCACATCGAGCAGAGTGATGAGTATCGTGGTATGCTCCCAAAATCATCCAACAAATCACTCCTCGAGTTTGACAGCCGCCACGTAACGAGGGCAGACCTTCCGTTTGCTACCATTGGAGTTTTCCACATTCATCCCTCCATCAGCCATGGAGCAGCAAGGGAAGATTTTCAGAACGAAATCCTGCCACTCGTGACATTGTACCAATGTGACGCGATCACTGGAGACGCCAACAAATCCGCGAATACCTACAGCAGACTCCAGCACGTCTTCAATCCAGCCAATGGTCTCATGAATATCCTCATGAAGGCATGTCAGAGATTGTGGAATGAGACGGAGAATCTGCCACTCGTGGACAGAATGGAGTATGCAATGGAGACTTGATGCACCATCAAATCCATTGTTCGTCATCGCTTCTACATGAAGACTGGATCAGGGTATGACCGAACCCAATTGGTCGCAGGGTTTTGGCATTGGCACATGGAAGCCAGGTGCAAGAGGAAATGACATTTGGGTGTCAAAGTGAATTTCACTTCATCTTTGTAAAAAGATTGCAGCCACACATAGTGAACCATGCTTTTTCTCAAGCATTCAGAAGCTTCAGCCTTCCTGGCCATAAAAAAAATCATCTTCAGAAATAATAGCATAGAACGTGGCCAGGTGGTGACATGCTTCAGCCATGTGGGCATAGGCTTCACAATCCGCGGCCTTCTTCCAGGCCACTAATGCCAATGCAGGGATGAAATGCCTGATTTCACCAGCATGCCCCTTGAGCTTGGCTGGTTTTGTAAACGGTATCCAGCAGGTTTTCCGAAAGGAAGAGATGAACGCCAAGAGCGATGAACAACTGGAAGCCATGCGGAACGATCCAACGTCTGCCATTTTCGACTATCAGGTCTCATCCGCGGAACGCTTCAAGCACGTGAACAACGATATGTTCATGAATGGCTCACAAGATTCCGACTCGCACAGTCCATATATCCGCAGCAGATCTGCCGCCAGGCAACGCAACTTTGAGAGATCCAAGGAGCACCTCAAGAAGAAGCAATCTTGGATTTAGTAAGAATACAGAGATTATAATAAGTAGTACTGGGGCGATCCAAAGCAATGGAAGGACTATGACAACTCGACCTGGAATGATTATGGAGACTATGGCAGTCAATCCGACAGCAGCCGTCGGTGGTACCGCTGATCGCCTGATGAAGCAGCCACCTTTGGCACTCATTCGACCGACCGAGACTCACACGATCAGCACTACGAACTACAACCAGATTGATCCTCACCGCCAACAAGACTATTCAGTGAGAGATGAATAGTTTCACATTCGTCCCGCATGTACATAGCGTTGTGCATCACTTTTTCGATACATCTAGGTATCTCACAGAATCAGTACAGACTGTTTTCCATCTTGCTCACATGACAAATCATCCGCGCAAAAATTGGATGAATCATTGTAACAATAGATGGCTACGGCCGACACTTTCAAGTATGGCTACGGCACGTAAGGCCAAGAAGCCAATCATACACTTTCGGTGTGAAAGGTCAAAAGAAATTTGTGTCTGTTTTGTGTTGCTTTTGGTTACACCAATTGACCCTTACACACACGCCGTTAATACGTTTGGCTCAAGGCCCTTTTACGTCATTTGTACAGTCATTCGACACATGGTACAGTGATAAAAGGCTTGCAGACCGCTTCACAGGATTCCGAGTCAACACAAGCCACCAGGGACAATCCATCCTCCAATCCTCCATACTGGCATATTGGACTCTCTCCGGAATAGATCCAGGGACCAAATCAACGACCTCTACTACCACAGGGTACCAGTTCCCTTCTGGGATAGGCACCCCGGCAGTGGGCCTCACCCCCCCCCCGCGTCCAAATAGGAGGTTCCTTCTCCAAATAGACGTCAAGTGTCACCTTACTTCCCTACATTTCGGAGAAAAAGGAAAGGGCCCAGAAGAGATGCGTCACAAGGATGGCCCCAGCCTTCATCCCTGACAGAAGGATCGGCTTTGGCATGCAGCAGCGCCTAGGCAGATTTGGGCACGATCTACAAGGATGCCACCCTTTAAAGGGTAGGTTCCGAATCCTATGTTGAGACCCCGCTGAGTCAGCGCACGTTCACGAAGTGGTCCCGCTTTCTCCAGGCTGCATAGTACAGGAGCGTGATGCCTGAAGCGCTGGAGCAATGCAACCGGGGCACCTTTGGAAAGCCGGGGCGCGAGCGCCGCTCCCAGGTGATGCACTCAGGAGCCTCCAAAAGAAAGGCGGAGAAATCCATTTGGACCCCTCGGAAAGAACCACTAAGCAAGCACAAGGCCGTGAAATCCAATGGGACCCGGACATCAGATGGGAAGCCCTGGTTCTTGTAGAGGGCAAATGGGGGAGACCACCCCCCGAATTCCCTACCCCAAAACAGCGTACCAACTCAAACGCCCAACTGGAAAGCTGAAAGCGGACAGGTGGCCTGGTGCAGTCCATCCACGTCAAGAACTGCAAGCTTCCGAATGCCAAATCCGGCCGCGTCCCGGGCGTCGATCGCCTAACGCGTGTCAAATGGGTGCGTCTCCGGGCTTTGCTCTTGTCCTTTGAAAACCAGCAGGAATTCCACAATTTCTAGACATTGACAAATGTCAAACAAGTAGCTTCCATGAATTTGGAGAAACCTCCAAATGGGTGTGTCTAAAAATAGGATCAACCCCAAAATGGGTCTTGGTCCCCCGTGGTTTGCCTTCGCCCGAAAAGGGCAACCTCAAAAACAGACACGACCAAATGGGATTCGGACCACCCTTTAGTTGGTTTAGAGGTACACACACAAAAAGACAAAACAAACATAGGGGGCTTGAAAAAGGCGACCCCCCCGGGTTTGAGTCTGTGTTGGCCTCACAAGCCAACTGTAGCAACGATGTGACCCCAATCAATAGACAATTGGCGGAAGAAATGGACCTGATCTTTGAGGTGCCAAGATTCATATGATCGAATTGTTGGAAGGTTCGCTCCCATATTCCCTACTGAGTCCCACTGTGATTCCTTCAGGACCGTTGCCCCCCTTCAGGTGAAGATTTCGTCCTTGGGAACTCCTTCCGCTGTGGAAAAGCCTCCCCCAACCCACGGGCAGTGCGCTGCTCGTCTCAACAAACCACGCGGCCGGCGTTCCGTGGATTCCGTGGAGCGCGCGGCCCTGGGACCCCCTGCGCGGAAGAAGGCCTGCGCCTCCTCGGGCTCCAAGGGCCGCCTCTCCGCCGTGCCTGGCCCAACGGCCAGCGCTGCCATGCGGCTCCTTTTGCCCAGCGTGTGAGAAACAAAAAACTGACACCTGACAAGGGAAAAAAAGGGGCGTCACAGGTTGTGCGCCATGTCGGCAAAGCGGTCTGCGAAGATCTGCAAGTTCTACAAGAATTCCAAAACCTGAACTGTGGGATCACCAAGTAAAGGACCTGAATCATGGCGAGCTCAGTTTACCCCTGATCAGCGAGCTCCGAACACAAACATTGTGTACTCCACTGCCGAAAAACAAGCTTACAAGCTTAAGCCCATGTGGCCAAAGTGCCAAGGTCTCTCAGTCGCTCCCAAGCTGGCAGGCAGCTTTTTTTGAAACCGCCGAGGCCTTTTAAATGGTCTGTGCTTCCGGCTCGCGCGTTTCTACATGCTACTTCCAAACAGAAACGCGCAAGAGCTCTTTGAACTCTGAACGATATCTCGACGGGGGATCGTTGCCCACGGTCGAGCTGATGCGCTTCTGGCACATTAGGCACAGAAAAGCTTAACAGGACAGTACGCTGCAAGTTGTGATGATTTCTCAACGTCTGTCCTGACAAATGTGAGACGCTGTCCAGACCCGTTTGGTCGTGCTGGGCTTGTTGTCAAGGCAGCTGTCCCCTAATACTCCTGGCTCCAGCAAGCGCACAAGACCACCATCCATCCGCACATGCAGCAAGAAAGCCACAATGGTCCTCATCCCAATGCTCATCCCAGTTTTTGCTCGCAAGGCACTTCCCCAACTGTTGTGGGTCCTGAATCAAGTCATGAGAAGCGAACCCAGAAACCCACAGCTGAGGCGAAGACTTCAGGAAGGTCGCCCAGCCACACCAACGATTTGCCTGCTGTTCTCGAATCTGTGATCGAGAGGCCATCATCGTCCAAGTGAATTGAGCCATCATGACCTTGAGAAAAGAAGAAAACCACGTGCTTTCACAACCAACTTGGGAAGAAAAAAAAGAAAACCTCTGCGTGCCCAAAAAACGGAGTCATCTTGTATCTGTGGCAAGGATACTGCAAGCTTCGCCAAGATGCGCCCAGTCCCGAAATTGCCTCCGACATACTCCATGGAGATAGCTTTGGCGACCTGCATGGGGGTGTGTTGTTTGAACCCCCCCCCCCCACCGGTTTGCGGTTTTAAAGGGAAACCACAAGGAAACCACGCTTTTTGGGAGTCCCCTAAAACAAAAGACAGACCCACATGCTATTCAACTCGAGAAAAAACACACACCCAAATGCATCATGTCAATCCAAGGCGCGTTGTCAAAGGTTATCTCGACCTCCCGCGCCCTGCGAGCTGTTCTCTCTCTCTCTCTCTCTCTCTCTCTCTCACGGCTTGAGTTTCCAGGGAACGCATGCACCTGGTCACCCCTGCGAACCTTCTTGAACGACCGTCAGTTGGGCCTGGACTTTTGCTTGGGGACTCTACTGTGGACATCAAGTTCTTACATGGGAGGTTGTGTCAGTCCCACCGTATTTGAGGCCTTTCCCAGCAAGTAAACGCAAAACAACATGAGCCAAAACACAGACACTGACAGGCACGTCCATCGGCCACCCGGCCACCCGGTCACCCGGTCACCCGGTCACCCAGGGCCTCAGCTTCTCAAGCACCACCGCCCGCAGATCCTCCTCTGGGAAATGCTGCATCCAGTCCTCTGATTCTCCGCAATCAGCGACTTCGTTCAGCCTCGGCTGTGAACAGCCAGGGTCAAGAAAAAGGATGCGGTTCCAGCTCAATCACCGTTGGCTTGTTTGATAGGATCTAGCGCAGGCGGCTTGTAGATGTACGCTTTAAGGAACCCTGGCAAACACCCTCACCCACTGGCGCGGCCCGGGAAATTTCCCCGTGTGTTTCTGATGTCCAGCAAGGGGTCACCATCAATCTGTGCCCGTTGTGCAAGGCACCAGGTGTCAACTTTCTCCAGCTGCTCCTTGGTGAACCATGAAGTTGCTGCTGCTGTGGCCAGCAGTGCCTCCGATAGGGACATGGGAAAATGCGCACAGCTCACACGCAAGCTAAACACTCTACTGTTCTGGTCAACAGGTGTGTTTTTGTGGCTCTGACAGGAACCTCACAAGCCAGCACTCAACTGAGAATCAGAGAGTCAAGTTAAGATCATCTGGACCAGTTGGGAACCAGCTGGAGCACCCAAGCAGCAAGTAGCAAGGTGTTTTCTGCTTCGGCCGCATTCTCTTCCCTTTCCCTTTCCCTTTCCTGCTCTCTGCCTCTCTTCTGTTTTTCTCTCTCTCTCTCTCTCTCCCCGTCTGGATGCAAGCCTGGAATTGTCGATCCAAAGTCTCGAAGTCTCCAAGTGCATGCCACTCCTAGCCAATCGTGTCCGAAGCGCATGGGCAGAATGGTGCAAAAGCCGAAGCAACGCACCTGCCTCGTAGACCTTCTTCAACGTCGCGAAGAGACGCTCAGATTGAAGCCCCGGCACATCGTCAGACTTCTTGGCCCAGTGGGGCGCAATCGCGTCAAACCTTTGCAAGCGAGCCAACCGACGTGACATGTGGACCCAGGTCAAGTCCCAGCTCCGCGGCTCTGTAGTTGGTGCGCACCAAAGTGCACACCAACTCACATGTCACAAGTCCTGCCATGTCAAAAATCAAAGTGGCCGCATGGGACGGACTATCCGTTACTCTTACGGGACCGTTTTGATTGTGGCCTCCTGCAGCTTTGAAGAATCGCCCATGGATGACTCACTCGTAGCTCTCAGGCTTGGGCAGGGCGATCACGCTGGCTTGAGAGTAGTCTGCGTCGTAGTTGAAAGACGCCATGGCTCGGAGGTCTTTTCTACCGGCCACTTGTTCTTGGCATTGCCTTTGAGCTCAAATGCTCCAGAACCAGGCCCAGCAGGCACGCGCTCGCCTTTGATGGAAGACTTCAGCGAGGCGGAAAGGAAAGCGAGCAACAGGCACTGACTGACGGTGACAGGGGGAAGCCCACAAACCACGATTAGCGAAATGCGCCAAACTGCCCCCAAAACCAGCGAGGAACCTCCTAACAATCTTGTATTTAGCATGAAAAAAACCTGCAGATCTGGCCCCAACTGTTTCAAGCCCACCCCATAAGCCTTGGACGACGCCACCCTCAGGCGCCTGATCGCACCGCAAAGGTCGCGGCCTTCTGCTCGCGGCGCCTCAGGACTCGAGTCACAGACGCTTCGGGCCATCCCAAAGCGCCTCAGCGTCTCCTTGGGCATGGCATCAGGCTGTCAGGCGCTCAGTTTGTTGGAAGGTGAGCTGCCTCTCATTTCGTGTGATTCAAGTGGCTGATCTCCAAACAAACTAAGCAGTGGAAATGCGCTTGCATCGCGTTGTGAAAGCTGCGTCTTGCGCAGGGCATGTGGGTTTGTCCCAAAATAGAGCAACCAAAAAGTGGTTGGTGTTCTTTTGGTTTCCCAAACACATCCATGTAATGTCTGCTTGAGAGAATCAACCTGAGTGCGTCTGTATTAGGTGCGCACGACAAAAGCAGTGCGAAAAGCTTTTTGAACTTTCTAAAGTGTGGCAGGCATTGCCGACACACCAGCGCACTCTTCAGAGTGCCCAGTGCTGCAGAGGGTTTCAAATCCCAGATCTTGCCTGTCCAAGTCACGGCACAGGAAATCTCTGCTTACTTGCCAAAGGCAAGAGGTGACATGCACAACAGAAGCATCAGAATCAAAAGGCCCTCGACATTTCGGCGCTGCCGTGGATTGGCAAGCAGTATAAACAGTTAGTGAAATCAAGCAAGCAGCATGACTCAGCACGACTGCCACTTGACCTGGTTTAATCTAAACATGGGCGCATCGTGCGATCAAATGGCAGACGGGTTGTCGGCATTGCCGGCTCGGCCTGTGTTCATGGTGTCGGCGCAGCAGCGTCTCTGGTCTCATTGCAGCTATGGAAGGTCCGTTACGCCCTTTCTGGCCAGGCCTGCTAGTCCCACTCTGTCCAAGTGCTTGAGAATCGTCGCCTTGCGGCTCCGGAGTTGAGCCAAACGGCAAGCCACTTGCAAGCTGCTTTTCAAATGCAATCTACGGGAAAGTGGCACGGTAAGCATATCAGAAACCCCATTGGCGCTCAGTGCCCAGCGCAGTTCTCCTCAATCCCGGTGTCTGTTGTGTCCTGGGACATGGCAAAAGGTGAGCTAGGTAGGTTTGAACCAGTGGAAACCAGCAAATTATGGATGGAACTTACTACTCAGATGCAGCTGCAAGAGAACTGAACCATTCTAAGTCATCGTCGAGGACCTTCCAGCGCGGATTGGACCTGCAATGCAAGGTGATCCAACACTCCACAAGAAACGTCAAAAATGGGATGCAAGGGATTCAGTCCACACCAGACAGATCCACTGGACAGCATGAGCAAGCGACAAGCGTCAAAGCCACCTCATGTCTCTGGGCCTTTGGGCTAAAACAAAGTGCCACATCATCACAGCCTTGCTCACAAACTCGGGCAAACATCAAACAACTTGCGGAAAGAAAAGTGTCCTTGGCCTGGCAAGCCCACAAGCTCACCATCCGGCCTGTAAAGCTTTTTACACCATTCCAGCTCTTCCTGGGACCACGGAGCCACGTGCTAAGCCACAATTTGCATGAGAAACGTGCAGGCCAGGTTCCCGAATCGCGCTTTGCTTGGCATAGTTGGAGTGTGAGCTCATATTCAACGACTTCATCCGCGCGCTGCCTCAGCCACGGAGCAGGCAAAGTTCATTCAAAGGAACATGCCTCATGCACTCCAAAGAACTCATTATTCAAAGAAAAAAGCATTGCCCAGCAATGCCAAACATGCCTCCCTAGAGCGGTCTAGAAAATGCAAAAAAAAAAACATCAACCGAAACATTCAGTCCAGCTATTCAAAGGTGAGCGCGTGCATACCTGGGTGCATACTTGGTGGGTGGGCGTCTGTGTGTGTGTCTCCCCCACAAAAACACTAGCCACAAGCACGCTCAGAGCAAACCCCTTTTTGATAGTGGAATCTAGTCTCTGGCAGTTGTTTGTGCACTGAAACCCTTTGCATTCCCTGATGAAAACACTCGGTGAGCCGTGCAATGGTA